CAGTCAGACACGGAACCACAGACATGAATAATTTGTGGCTGAGATGGAGGCTGGTTCAAATGTTGTATAGGATTAGTGAGAAAACTTACGTGGTTCATACAGCTTACCCAGTAAAATTAAGGATGTTACTTACAATGGGCTGGAATTGTAGGGAGAAAAGAAATACTAAAGAATATTGGCGATAAACCCTCTTGGGATGTATCAACCTGGAAAATCGTGAAGGAGATTTGAATATTGCTTTAACAGGGATCTTAGAGAAATGGGTTATGAGGGCAGGAGGTAAATGGAAGTAGCTCAGTGCTATGTCCAGTGATAGTCTTTGCTCTGAGCCATGCTGACATTTTTGTTTCTGTTACCATATATTTTCTGTTATCTTTGTTTTTCTGATTCTTGTCACAGTTATTTAAAATGTTGTTTCTATCAACAGGGGTACGTTACTTACTCACACTGTGGCACAGTCCAGTATGTGGCACCAGAGATAATACAAGGCAGAGGCTACAGTTATGTAAGTATCTTATACCTTGACACTGCAAAAATAAATTGTTTCTGTATCATTACAGTAAACTAATAAGGCATTACATTATAATCATTTGAGGGTTTGGGGTTACAAATAGAAACTCCATACCACAATTTTTATATTTCTGTAGACCGTTGTCAAATTGTGTAAGTGTGTGAAGAAATTAAAGTGTCTGATTGTGGCTGACGCCCTAATTTGAATTGTTGCAGGAAGTGGACTGGTGGAGCTTGGGGATAATGGCATATGAAATGCTGACTGGAGAAACACCCTTCAAACGTAAGGGCAAGGAAGACGTGATTAATCTCTATATGTAAGTCTTTCCTATTTGCTAAGAGATACGACACACATATTCCCTATGAACGTTATGTTCCTTTGAGCAAAGTTCTATACAAATAAGTTTCTGGCTAACACGTCCATTTTAATGGCAATAAATTAAATGCACACATTTGAATCGTGTGGAGATTTAACCTTAGGAAAAAATTTAAAATGCAAGCCAAACCATGACAGCAGCTATTAAGAAAGCATGTTTGTTCAGGACATCAATTGAATGTGATGAATGGGGAAGGGAAGGGTTACAAGAACTGGATAATGTAACATCTTTGACATGTTTAATATGGACCATCTTCCTTATCTCTTGTGTGAGCAACCTTGGAGACTCCGTGCAAATTAATTAACCAGGTCATTTGTAATAACCTGGAGAAGCATCATATATGCATGTTTAACAAGTATGTTTTTAATGGCAAATTCAAGAATTAACCTTTCTTTTACAGGGAGATTGTGTATGACAAGCCAGTGATCCCAAGGAAGTTTTCACTGGATGTGGAGGATTTCATCTGTAAACTGTTGACAAAGAATCCACTAATGCGTTTAGGTGGAGGGAAAGGCAGTGTAGTGGATATAAAGAGACATCCCTTTTTCAAAGTGAGTTATTCTCCTATATCTGTTATCATTTAATAATTTATACACATGTTTCAATTCTATACTGTGCCTTGTCCATGTAATGTACTGACAAAATTAAGCACAGTGTGATCACCCACACAGTTTGAGACTTCTGACACTCAATAAAATCTTAGGTGATCAGCCGTATCAAATGGTTAAAAGACAAAACCGGCATAGCTCATTCAGTATAGTGACTGGCTATGGACTGGGTGACCAGGGTCCGATCCTCAATGGGGGTAGAGGATTCTTCCTCTAGCTTCTGCATCCAGACCGGTTCTGGGGCCCACCCAGCCTCCTATCCAATGGGTACCGGGGTCCTTTCTCAGGGGTAAAGTCCGGCCGGGGCATGATGCTGACCGCTCACCCCTATCTAGTGCTGAGGTCAAGAATGAGTAGGAGCTATTCCCCCCCCCCAAGCGCCTACATGGCGTATGGTGGGACAGCTTTACTTTCTACCAACGTTTCAGGGACCATCTCTGTCCCCCGGGTACTCATTGCCCTGTTGATGGAAGCAGCAAGGACCTCTGAAATCTTGGTTAACTTCTACCAGACTATACCGACCTACAACTCAGAAGACAGTCGTCTTTGCACTTAATAGTAACATGTGTCCTATTATATATTGCTATTATGTGTGGTTGACTTACTGGTACCACCAAACAGATGGTTCAGTCTATAAAATATTTGCACCACCCACATGGGTTTTGCTTGGAAGCTGAAGGAGTATTGTATTCATTGTGCATGTTTGCTAGTTGATGGGGGGGCAGTCTTTCAGAATCTGTCTGATAGTGGTACTTTTAATTTTTCATTCTTTATTTTGTCAGGCACTACTTTCTTAATTTGAGGCACTGGTCCCATGTCATCTGTCTGTCCAGCTTACTATACAGATTAGGGCTTGGAAACCAATTGTACATCATACACTGTGGTATCTCTGATTGAGAAGGGGGCCACTATTTCTAATGTTATTTTTTAACCATAAGCTTCATTCTCTGGGAAGTTATCAGACACAGTATCCTGTCTGACATAAGATTACAAAATTCTGGACATTACCAGATTTAGCTTCATAAAATTCTAATGATTTTTTACAAATCTAGCTCATTTTGAGCATGTGTGTTCCTTTTAAGACAACTAGGGACGTTCCTGGTTGGGCATGGCAATTTGTTTCCCAGCTTATTAGTTCAGCAAGTTCAGAAATAACTAATAAATCAGAATATTTCAAAGCATTTTTAGGGTTTTAACCAACATTTAGACCAGGTTTACAGTAAATGAAACCAAGGTCACTTATCCCTTGCCTTTATCCTTGTCTCATCTTCCTGTTATCAGAGCTGTCACTTTGTTTGCTATCAGACAAAAGTATCACAACCAGTCAAGAAGAAGACTACATTTCAAATCCTTGTACGTTCTTCACGGTTGAATGGTATTTTAAACCGAGGTGTTCTCACTTTGCTGAACAATCAGCACTCTATTCCGTAACACTAACATTTGTGCTTCACCCTGCAAGGCCTGCAATGGGAATGTGTAGAAAGAAAAGAAATAACTATGCCTTATGTGCCGCATCTTAATCATATGAAAGAGATCAATCTCGCTGGATAGCATTTGAGCTTGGCGATTTTCAGTGGGTTGCAGACGAGTGACAGTATTTATAAGGTCAGTAAAAGTTCTCTGCCTGATGTTTTACAAGTATGTGATGCTTAGGAACAGGGTTTATTTCTGGTGCTTCTGAATCCTGTAAAACAGATTTTGTTTGGTCAGGGCGATGTTACGATATTAATAGTAATAAAGAATTCTGTGGTTGTTTTTATCAAATATTTCCGCACTGTAACTCTTGACATAGTTCATGGAATTAGATTAAATATTCATACACCCATATTTGTGAGGGTTTATGAGCATAAACGGCAGTTATTGTGAAAATAATGGTCTTAAATGAGACTTAATATTCATAAGCCAGGTCAGTAACTTAGCACAGCTTTTATAAGATGAATTCAAGACACTTATTCCTCAGCAATGATTGTTGCCATTTGCCCCTTATTTTTGACAGACTTCATCATTCTTATTTTCAAATCCTTGGGTCTCTAGTCCAGCATATATTAAAATATATATATATATATATATATATATATATGTGTGTGTGTGTGTGTGTGTGTGTGTGTATTGTTTTATGACAACAAAGGTCTCTTCAGATTCCCAGAAGTAATTCTTTACTATCCATCCCCTGCCATAATATTAAAATGTATCTTAATGACATTGTGTGTGAGATATGTGGATTGGATTAATCTGGCTCAGTATAGAGTCCAATGGCTGACTTGTTAAGACAGTAAAAAACTTTCAGATTCCATAAAACCAAAGTATTTTTGATTAGCTGAGCAATTATTACTTTCTCAGGAAGGAGTCTGTTCAATAGAGTTAGTTATATAGGTTTACTTAGAAACAAAAAGGCTGTATACATTCAAACTTTAATATAGACAGATGTTCAATTTTTATAGGCCTAGTCTGAATTGTGCAGTGAAGGTACAGTTTTATTACCATGTTTCCCACAAACATATATTTTTTTCTTATCTTTTTAACACCGTATTAAACAAGTTCCAGTACATCTGAAGTGAATTTTGGTGTTTCAGGGTTATTCATTCATATCCTCGACACTTACTCCTCATAGACATTCTGCAGGTGAAAATTCTCAGGAGCACCCGAACATTTCTTGGAAGTTGTCATTTTGAATACTTTTTATTATTCAGGTATGAAACAGACACAGGAGTATAATGAACTAATTATTTATAACATAGCAATATTCTAAATTAATTCCTATTTTTCGTTTAAGCAAGACACTGGTTAATCCACCCCTGGATAATCAGGAGTCTACTTTAGTGATCTTTCTGTGTCATGTTTTCTAAAAAAAGTATGTAGACTTATTTAGGTAAAAATAACATAGAATTGTAACATAACCTGATTATGAATGTGTCCATATATGTTTTGGTTACAGATTGGAAAGTGAATTGCCCATTAGAAGTGAATAACCCAGGCTGGGTGGATTTTCCAGTGCAAGTGGATAATCCAGAACGAGTGGTGCCAATTAAAGGAGGTGTTTATGATGACGGATTACCCAGCAACCTACACCAAATGATATGGGTTTTGAAAATGAGAAGAAGGAGAAGAATGATACAAGTAATTATCAATTGCCCAAGAAAACCGTAAACCGTATGTTGCAGTTCTAATTATTTAATTTGCTCCTCTTTGAATCTGTATTGTAACTTTCTTTTCTAACTGTGGCTCTGTAACCTGTGTGGGTCTTGGCCACATCTTGGAGGTTTCTTAGTCTATTAGAAATTTGGTAGGACTCCTTGGACGAGTGATCACCCCATCACAAGGCCTCTACCTGTACACAGGATGGCACAACACAGAAGAACAGGGACAAACATCCATGTGTTGAATGGGATTTGAACCCACAGTCCCATTGTCCAAGCACACAAGGCCCGTGCTGCTCAGCCACTGTGACTGGCTATTGTATCATGTACCATGATTATTTATTAACAAATACTGAAAAACAAAAATCTTGGTATTTCAGGTTCTCATACTGATAGCAGCCTTCTGCGATAGTGCACTGTGAGGTCTCATAGAAGTTGACTGAGTCTTCAGATGTGCATACTTCTGTGTGCAGGAAAGGAATTGTTAGAATAGGAGCAGGATGAACCAGGTCACTGTTGGGTGAGACAATGGAAGAAGTTAGGTGTGGACAGACAAAGTGAGAGAGCTGATGAGAAAGGTTTGGACTAACTCCCTGGTGAGGCTGTGGTCACCTCTGCTGTCCCATTGGCTCTCTTACTTTGTCCTTACCGTGATCCTCCCCCTCAACCATTGGTTCCAACTGCTCCTTTTCTCCCAGCAGCTTTTTTTGTGCATGGCTTGCTCATCGCACTGGTGAGGGGAATGTGGTATGTGATTAACAGAGCCCACTATTGGCTGTGATGTTAAACCAGTTCGTACAAAACACCCCCCCCCCCCCCCCCCCCAAGAAGACGACTCATTATTATTAATCTTTTTTAACTTTTATTAAATAATCTTATTAAGCCTGTGGTTCTTCAACTCTGTTCCAAAAACTGGTCATTCCTCTTTTCTTGGGATAACCTGTAATTCATTTTCCCATTGGTTGGTATTTAAGTTCTATAATAGTCTCATCTAGCATCCTTTTGACATTGTCTGTCCAATTCTACTGGTATATTTGAATTTCTTCTACTGTGCTTTGTACTTTCAATCTTTCCCTTATAATTACATTTCTTTGACAGTCTAATTTTGTATATCCTGGTAATGGACTTACCTATGCTGCTTACAAGTGTTATTTACTTATTTTATTTAACACCTATGTAAGATTTATGCCAAATAAAAAATTTGGAATTTTTACATTTGAAAGTGCCACAATTGGCTTAAATTTTTTTTCCTCTATTAAATAACTAAATAATTATAACATGGTTTATTTATTTTAGTAAAAACTAATCACCTATATTGATGTAAATAAAATTAAAGTAGCATACACTTATACTAGTAATTATTTCAATTTTATTTTTAGTTGGGATATCTATGTATTGTGTTTTGTAAGCTCTGAAAAGTACACCTTGAATTTCTTATATAGCCTAATGCATACACAAAACCTATTGTTGAAAAACTAACCAAAAACAGATGACATATATCATGCTGAATAAACATATTATAACTTATTTAACAATAGCATCCAATGAATGGATGATTGTGAAGATGTTGGTCTAAAACGTTTGACTATGATCAGGTTGCTAATAATAATTTTTTTTATAATTTAACTGCATGACGTTTAATAAAATGTGTAATTAAGGGTTAAAATATTAAAAATTGGAATGTAAAAAATTATTGGGATTGTGGCTGTGACTCTATTAAGCTTATTTGAGTATAATGTAGCTATCATTAATCCCTAATTAATGTTTATTAAATCTGTTGTGTTATTGGAAATTTTACTTTTTAAGGCTACGTTTAAGGCCACATGAAGTTACAATGCATAAAACAACACTTACACTGTTAGTACTGCATAACAGCTCCGCAGGTTTTTGTAATTTAAAATGCACTTTTATTTGATCTTTGGAACATTCACATGTTATGGGCAAAACATAAGAAAATGTTAAGTTTTATGGTAGTTAACGCTGTTACCGACTGAGTGTGAGGTATTGACTGTTCTCGCTCTTCCAGCTATGCTGCTGCGAGTAGATGGCAGCACAGTATATGCTTGACGTTAGTGGGGTAGGTGAAGTCTCTTGATGTAAAAGGTACGGAAGAAAAACAATATTGATGATCGTCATTTTTGGATCCGAACACAAATTGGGTGGGACAATTGATATTAGCGGTACCTATAAGAGGGAATGGAAAATAAATTTTGACAGGAAGTGAAGTAGGAGAATTCAATGAGTAAACTTCTACTGGACTACACGGTGCAACAACCCAGAAGACAGCCATCTTCAGACTCACCGCCGTGAAAACCTCAAATCCCGCATAAGCGTTTGTAATTAATTTCTGCAAATTATCAATGTGTATTTCGTTAAAATTGTACATCCCGCTCACATAATGTTTATTTGAATTATGTGTAATTAACTCATGTCAGTTTGTAAATGTTGAGTGTTATTACAGAGGTGAAAGAAGAAATGTAAACAGGTGATTTTATCTTTTTATTTAATTAACCTTGAAAGGTTTGGGTAAACCATGCTATAATTTTCATGACAGTATATCCTGATTTTTTTACACAGCTCCTTAATCCTGATCATTAAAATAATCTGGCTTCATTTTCAATTATTTTGAAGAAATTCTCTCATGTATTTGTTCACAGTGTCTGGATCATCCTGTTGTACAAAATGATTGGCTCCTTTAACAATCCTGCCTTGTAGATTCTTCACATATTTTTGAGCTACTGTTACATGGTCTAGAACCAGATAGATTTCGAGTTCACCAAACATTAAAAGACCTTTTGCTTCAATATTCAATTTTATTTGTGATGGGTTGGAGGGTATTCTTCTGAGAATATTAGCTCTGTAGTAGTTGAGTGGAGGTGTTAATCCCTCTGTAACAGACAATTCAAATTATAATTACTTCTTATCATGCTAGCAGGGAATATAGCATGCATGGGACTGATAAGCATCATGTAACAAATTCTACTTGGAAAACCTGAATGGAAGAGACCAGTTGGGAGACAATGGTTCAGATTGTAGGACAGAATTAAGCGTTACCAGCCATTATGGCTGGCCATGCAAAATGTCATGTTTACACATGGTTCTGTTGGCCATGCATTTCAGTAAATATCACTAAACAATTAATCACAAGGTTAAGACACCATTGAATTCAGATGGTTGCTATACATCAACATGGTACCAGAAAGAGTCCATCTTAGTGAAATACTGTGGTTTCTCCACAAACAAAGTGATCTTTTCCCAACAATAAAATGTGAAGGATATAAATTATGAAAATCTAATTTGATTTTTTTTGTCCAGTTTTGTCACTTCCTTTTAAGAGAAATTTTTGTTTTTCCTCAGCACCCTGTTTTCATATGCCCTTATATGTATTCTTCCCTTAGGATGGTAAACCATGTTTCACACCAATATAAAATAACAGGTAAAAGTTTTTTGTGGAAAATATGAATAGTTGTGCCTCTTTGTTTTGTTAGGAAAATTTTCATAACAAGTTCAAGTAATGTCTTTTATATAAATTGTTGAAGTAATAAAATATATTTATCTGTGGCGGGGGTGAATTAATTTCTGGATGTACTGACACTGATTGTTGGGTAAACATGTTACAGTGAACACCCAGAATCCATAACTGCTATTTCTGAAGTGTAAAAGCTATAAACCCAGAAATGCTGTAGACAAAACTTGTTTTCCCTACTGAGAACTAGAAATTACAGCAGCTGTTGGTGAAAGCAAAAATCAAAGCTGGAATACTTAATGCTATTTTCAGTAGAAACTAGTTTGTGCCACGTCCCTGTTAGTTAAAACTGTTTCTGACAAGTTTGATTTCAGGTTCTCAGGATGGCGATTATGAATATGGCTGTCATCTGGGCTGTTTCGCCATTTAGTCTGGTAGAAGTTAACTGACATTTTAGAGGTGCTTACTTCCTTCATTGCCCCAATGATAGAACCAGCAAGGATCTCTGAAATGTCAGTTAACTTCTACCAGACTAAACGGCGAAAAAGCCCAGTTGACAGTCATCTTTATTCTTTCTGACAAAACCAACGCTAGGCAGCCCTTGCATCAAACTTTTAAACAACATATAAATAATAGGACATGTTTAACTGATTTGTTTATTTCATATTTAATCAGTTTATGCCTGTGTTTACTATAGCAGTTCTAATGGACCAATGCTCAAATTAAATTTTATTGATAATTTTAATTTTATTTAAGACATGCAAACGGGTTGCCATAAGCAGAATTCCTATTAACATACCATTTTTATGCTTTGCTTACAGAAAGCCTAATAAACCAAAACAGTGGATTAGAGTTTCAGTGTGCAGAAAATAAGGTAGTCTGTAATGTAAATACAGCATATTTAAAGGGCATAGAAAGTTTAATTATCTCTTTTTAACCTGCAGCATAAAAAATGATTATAACCATTACAAAATGGCACTACAATAGATTCTGTAGAGTACAAATGTGCTTTTGATGAGTCAAGACTGTCTCAAAGAATTTGAAGTAGCTGACAGTTGACTAGTAAACTATACTTGATTCATAAGTGCTCAGATACTTACCAGGTTTGCTGAAAGTATATTTAAATGCTTCAATGTCTTCATCAGTGACAGTTAGAGGAGACTTTGGTTTTTTTCCTCTGAATAAGCGTCGAAAGCCTCTGAAGTCAAAAGACGAAAGAAAGAGTTCTGGAAGATACGGGAGTTGGAAGAAAAACATATACCTGAACAGAATATGACATTATTATTTTCCCACCAAATGTCACAGTTAAGTGATAAACACTCATACTTCATATTTGGGAAGTTCTTGGTTCAAATCTTGTCCTGAAGACTGGTTATCCAGATTGAAGCTTTTTGTTGTTTCCCACAGGCAAATTCCAGGCTAGTACCTACAATTATGCCATGGCCAAAAGCATCGTTAAATAAAACACATGCTTACAAAAACGAGGAAGTGTAAAGTGAGAAAAGAGTACTGCATAATATATTACATATTTCTTTCAGAGTCCATGACCTTTTATGATTCTTTTGCTGTTTCTGATCATCTTAGAAATGTATCTGTTACCAGTGTTGTTACCTTTTACATTATACTTACAAAGACCAGAGGAACTGTTTTGGATTTGTTTTAACAACGTCCATAAAAGCTGGAGAATATGGAGCATCCATGATAATATAACTTTCTACCATTTCATGATGCTTCTGAATAAAGTTCCATGCAACAGCACCACCCCAGTCATGTGCAACTAAGATGAATTTTTGTCGACCTGGAATTGAAAGCCAACTATTAACTTGGTGACAGTGCAGAAGTTGAGGTTATATCTGAAAAATTTAATATAAATAGAATCAGTATATAAGTAACAAGTTCTTTTGAAACATGATGGTGGTAGGAATGATGATGAGAATAACGACAGAAATAATCTGTGACATATTTACAGTTCCATGCAATGATAAAGAAATTGTGACCCAAGTGAGATTCAGTCACAAAATCATCTCTGCATGAGTTCAGAATGTTGACTCATGAGCTACATGAATTTCATAGTTCAGTTATAAATCTTGCCTAAATGTAATATGAGTAACAAGATTTATATGACTAGAAGACTGTGTGATAGGTAAGTAGGCTTTATGAGTTGTAACCAAAATTCTGTGTTTAAAATTCAATTCTAGTGGTCTCAATCCTGTGATCTCAGTATTAAGTGACCTTCTTTTAACATTTTATTTGTTTTAATATTTAGATTCATTGGACTACAAAGGAATAAATGGCGATTTCACTTTAAATATTTAAACATGAATCTGTATACAAACCTAAACTTTCTACAACTTGTTTTATATCATCAACAAGATAAGTCATGCTGTAGTTTTTTATGCCAAGAGGTTTCTCCGAGTCACCATAGCCTCGCATATCTATTGCCACAGTCCTGCAAATTCAGATAACTGTATTACATGTTATAGATCCTGATTCATAAATAGTTATTAAACACAAGAGAATGTAACGAGCATCGGGAACAAGCACATTAGTAATGTATGAGTGAATCGGGTGCAACAATGTGGTCAGTTTTGAAGTAACAAGGAATCAATATAAATCCCAAACAAAATTAAAATAAAACTTGTATGTTCCTTTTTCTGTAATGAATTTTTTAACCTTGAATCTGTATTTTAATGACAGTTTTCTTCCTTTTATCTTTTATTTGTATTTCTTTGATGGATTTTATCTTTGTGATTGTGATTAAGATGGTATATTGACAAAATTAATAACTGGATCTTCCAAAGGCAAAAGGGCTGTATGCATTGACTTACCAGTAATCCTTAGAAAATTCTTGAATTTGATATCTCCATGAGTACCAGAATTCAGGGAACCCATGTACAAATAACATGAGTGGTTTTGTGTTATCTCCTTTTTCAACATAATGGATTTTGATGCCCTGTAAACAAATCATGTAAATATCATTGCATTGTTTTCTGGAATCATATTACTGCACAATACACATTTACCAGTCACACTAATAAGAGTACAGCACTAAAAATACCATTATTATACATTGTTATATATAATTGCAAAACATTGTCTCTTACTGTAAGGGAAGAATATAATTTGAAACTATGTGGAAACAAAAGGCTAAGGAAATAATAAATGCAGAAAGTTATAAGGGGGAATTTTATGTTCAATACATTTTCTGATACTGATAAATTTATTATTGCATATTTGATCTGAAGTACCTTTAAGGTGTTTGCCTGGAGGGACTAAGGAAACCACAACAATTTTTATTATGGCCAGAGGTTTGTACCCAGAACCTGAATATGTAGTAGGAGTCTTAATCACTCAGCTCTTGGCCATGATGTTTGGTGAATATTAATTAACATAGGTTTATAACAAAGATTTGCTGAGTAAATGTTACTTCATTCATCATCAAACCTCTTTCTCCTAACTAAATTCTGAAATTGGAATTACTTTTTCAATTTTTATTTTTGAGAATAGATAGATTGAACCCACAGACACCGTCTGAGTATAAATATAGGATTTTGAATTCAATCCTTACATCCCAAAATACATGGGGTATAAGCCAAATCTTTTTTTACTACATTTAGAAAATAATGCATTATAGGGAACAATTGATGTCATCTGTAATAATTTATCTTCTGCATAGTTCCCGGCATTGTCCAAAAATCATATTTGCAAGACAGTCTTATTGCAAACATACTTGCACAATATTATATACTGCAGTTATCAAACACCTTATCAGGAGAGATACCGATAATATTTTTGTATTCAAAGGTCACATTCAGTAGATGAATATTATTGTGTGCCCAGAAATATATTTGGCCTGTTGCAAAGTACAGAGGTGAATCAAAGATTATCTGGTACTCCAAAGTTTTTGAAAAATTAATGAATGTGAGAAAATTAAAATTCTGTAACAGTTTTCATGTACTGTTGTTGCTTTAGTCCATTGGTACATCTGACTTGTATTTGGGAAGCATCTGGTTTGAATCTTGATCGGAGAACTGGAAATCTGTGTTCAATATTTTTATGCAAACTTTCCGTCTCTTGAGCCAAATACCCAGAATAATATTGCTTTGGAAAATCATCTCATGTGTGAAGTTCACACTATGCTACAATAGGGAATTTAAAAATATAGGATCTTCCACTGATGAGATATTCATAGTTACTTTCATACAAACGTGCAGCTTCTATTGGCAGAGAGGAACATAGTAGCTGTAACATTTGAATTAAGGGATTGATTATAAACGAGAACAATCCTTTTCTCGTGACGAAAGGTACTTTGTTTATGTTCATTACGAAATACCCTACAGAATTTTAAAGTTTTTAAATTTTGCTATTTTAAAAACTTAAGACCAAACTTCACCCCCAAATGATCACATAAGCTATGGTTTGCGATAAGATTTTGCGAAATGTTGTCTTTTATGATTACCAAAGCAACGAATTTTGAAGCGTTAACACGTACGAACCTGTATAACCACCTTATTTAAAAGTATGTAATGTAGCAATAGCAGCCATGCCACGGACGAGCTAACAGCGTTTCGTTTCAATGTAATTTCTTTTCTGAGTGTGTGGGTACTGTTTCAGAACGTGAATATGTTAAGTGTAGTTAGCATTCGTGGAATATGAATAGTTTGTAAGGACATGTAAGATTTTGTATTTTCAGAACAGGCATTGAGAAAATGTCCATTGAGATCAGCAAAGTAAGATCGTGTTTTAACAAGTACGAAACAAATTAACATTGAACATTTGATGTTTACGTATTAGGACGGCAAGATGAAATTAGGACTGCTTATTGAATTTACATCTCCATGAAGATCCTCAGACACGTGAGTAAAGTGTCCGTATATGCCTGTTTCTAGTATTATTTTTTAAGTAGCGGTGCTTTGAGGTTATGTCCGACAATGTTTATATTTTTAACAACAAGTACCGGTACTGCATACCACAAAAAAATGACTGCCTCTGTTAATTTAAAGTGTTCAGCAGCAATATAAATAGCTGACTGTTGTGTGTAAATGAAATGTCAATAGTTTAGTCCGCACAGCAGTAGATTACGAAGAGATAAGCACAGATATATTGCATTACTTTTGACTTCGAACTCCATTTGGAAATGTCCTTATTCGTTTTCCCAGTCAGTAAAATGTTCACTTAGGTAGGGGCCTAAGATGTAACTTGTCTATCGAAAGTAGGAACTTCAATAATGCAGTCGACAGTTTAGTCCAACAAAGCTTTTCAATAGAACAAGGATTGGCTGTCCCTGGGTTTACATAAAATAAATACGACGATTCTTGTATTAGTATTTTTAATTTCCCGCTGGTTTAAAGTTAACTAGCAGTAACGGGTTGAATTTCACACTATCACAGGTCTATGATAAATGTTTAATATTAACAGATTAAAATATATGTACAGAACTGTTGTATTCACGAAGAATACCTTCCTCAGATGATCGCAAATACTTCAACGTGGACGTGAATTCAATAATTATATGTATGAATTATTTTCCTTTCTAAAATGCGTTTGCATTGTTAACACCATTTGCAAAAAAAAGCCTTTGGAAAGTAGGAATGTAAAAGAATTGGTTCTACAGCAGCGATGCGTGGATTGATGCCAGTAGGACGTAGGAGGCGTTGGTTTTGAATGAAGAAAAACTCGGGAAGACGACATACCATGGGAAATATCAAAATGAAAATTCTCAGGATTGTAGTCGAACCAGTGCCCCGGTGCTATTTTTAGAGGAGGGACTGGAACGTCTTTGAAAGAGAGTGATGTCAAACATAGACAAGGACCAGCGGGGTTTGAAGCCTCATCCCCAAAATACAGTGGATAAGATAAGGAATACGCTGCAAAATAAGTGATAGTGGAAGAATGACGAGCAAAAAGTCCGACAATGACGTAACGACTAGAGCCAATATCTGATTATGCCATACCTTCCAAGGAGAATGATTAGAAATCCGTTACTTACATCATTACTTGCCATGGTAGGAATATGTGTCAGAGTTTATGCTAGTTCTCCCCCCCCCCCTCCCCGAACTAGGCATAGTCCATATCAGTATAATGGCCCCGAAGATAAGCAGCAAGTATTTAAAGGAAAATATCGGGAATTTTCTGTTGCATATGTTGGTAACGGTACTTCGACGCATTAAGACAATGAAACTTTTTTTCCGGTTTAACAATGTACATTTTCCGGTACCCTTTACAGGTCCCCAACTTTTCAGTTGGCTTGATCTATGGACATTCGGTACGACTCTTTGGACGAGGGATCGGCCCGTGGCAAGGCCTGTACACAGGACAGCACAACACAGAAAAACATCCATGGCTTGAGTGGGATTCGAACCCACGGTCTCTGCGACCAAGCGGCACAAGACCCACGCCTCAGACCGCGCGGCCACTGCTGACCCTAGACAATGAAACTTGTTTTGTTAAAGTAAGCGTTCTGAAACTAAGTACGCCAACTATATTTTTGTGGTTCATTATTACGACGGTTATTAGATCAGACCATACATACAGCGTTGAATGATAACATGACTAATTAATAATGAATTGGAGTGAAAATAAAGGAGGTGGTTGTGACGTGATTTACGGTATTACCCGGATTATGCTTGCATGCTAACCATTCAAACCGCGTGTGTGCCAACAGTTATTTGACCTTAAACTGTGGTGAAATATTAACGAAAGTCTGGAATGAACGATTCCGTTGCTAACCATTTTTCTCATACTTACTTTAAGAGTGAGATACCCATGATTCCCAAGGGCAGGGTCTGTCAGACATGGCGGTGGTTCATTTCTCTTCTTCACCGGAAATGCAGTCGGATTGCAGATGTAACGAAAGGCTAAACGCACAGAAATATAGAAGCCAACAATACAGGCAATAGTGTACACAAATAAAGCGTGTAACAATGTCATTCTGTCTGCCAAACTTGATTTATGAAACTGACTTGCGATTAGGTTGACGATGTTTCTGGTAACACACCAGTAATTACAACAGTTGATATGCTACACTCAGTGCCATTTCTTGAATGGTACTCCTTTTTGGCATCGGCTGCGATGATTATACCATATACATGTTACATAAGTCCCCACCCTTTTCTTCAACTCTCCTTATTAGACTTTCTAGTAGCGCATGCGCAGAACCGCGGTAGTTGTTTACATTTGCCGAAGCGTAATGAAGTTTAACTTCTTCTTTGAAAAACAAGTTTAAAAATAAGTTAGACATTAATTTCATCACGTGACGAAAGACACGTACCGCGATTGTAGTCTGGGAGGTAGAACACTGGTTTCGCTTGTCATCACAGCCTTGCCCCTACCAAATGTGCGAAAGCCACAAATGTAAGAGGGCGTTGGCGAAACGGTACAAGTGGAAAATTACGGGTATACATACTTGGAAAATCCGAATTTGCGAAACTGCACTTAGTGAGGGGCTGTAGTCCGATTTCAGGCTTGCAACTTCAGAAATCAGTGTCGTTGGGACAAGAAATGTAAATAAAATATGAGATTTGAGGTTTTTGAGGACGCGACGATGAAAAATGTTGGTCTCGTGGGTTTCAACGCGTTGTAACGTGACACCTTGCAGGCAGATAAAATTTATCTGGTAGACAAACATCGACATTGATAAAATACATTGTTTATCTGTAGGGGCTTAGTGTTCATGTTAACTGTGTTATCCCGGATAACACTTTTAAAAATGTAAATTAAAAACTCCTTTGTCTTATAGTGAAGAATCACGAGTTTTATTTATAGGCGTATTCGTAGCTAAAAGTTTCAAAACTGTGCTGATTAGATTATTCGTGTGTTTGTCAAAATCTTTTTGAAACTGTAGAACATAAATTATTGCAAATAGTGAAATGTGGGCTTACTGACCTAGATAAAACTCTTTGTTTGTCGTTTATCCATATACTCATTTACCTGCTAAGGTTGCGATGAACCGGTTTTGAGGTTAAGGTAGGGAAATAAAAGATAACACAGAATTTGTATGCAGCTACGTAGGAAACAAGAGATGGAAGGATATAATTTTACTACGGTGGGTCTTTGAGTATATGAACTACTCAGTTTCAGAACCCGGCCCATTGGTATTAGCGGTGTTTGGATTACACTTGAGAATTGTTTGGCGATGTGTGTAAGTGGTACTGAAATAGCTTCTCGAGGTCTCAGGGATAAGTATGAGAAAGTTGTGGTGGAATGTGGTAACCATGACCTTTGATACAGATGTTTATATGAAGAAGTTTAAACTTTATGCTGATTTCAAGGACTCAGCGTGGTGATGATATAAGATTTCGTCACCAATCACTCGGCGTTCTGGTTTTTATTCAGTAATGATCACTGCCCATGACCTTCGGAAGTGTTTTTATTGAACTTTGATCACTTCCAATTAAGCTCGGCAGTGTTTTTTCATTAGCATGCGTTGTTGACTGTAACTGTCCTTACATTGTATTAAAAGATTATGTTTACATAAAAAGGTACTCGAATCACAATAAAATATTTGAATAATTATAGTAATAATATTTTAATGTTTAATAAAATATTTTATTGTGATTAGACGGTTAAAATAAACAATTATAATCATCACAATATGACGCAACAATATCATCTCAGGTACTCGAAATAAATTACATCGAGAGCATTATGAGCCTGTATTTTATAAAATGGTGACGTGTGCCAACAAAACAATTGAAAAATAGATAAATTACTTCAGAGGTCTTATTACCCAACCAGGTTTTTGACTTACAATACGTAAAATAACGTAAAATTCATAACATTTAATGTCTTCATATTTTGTATAATTGTTAAGTATTTCGTAGTAAAATAAATTAAATATGGTATCTTATTTTGATTACGCTCAATCACAATATTCTGGAAGAGGTTGTCTGTTAATTAAAAGAAGTCAAACTGAGATAAATCTGAAAGAGTTTTCATTTACGTTCCATTGTTAGGTGTAATTTAAATGAACAAAGAGATTTTAAAACACATGCGTCTTTTACATTCTGACCGAGGTTTCAAAGGAAGGGAACGTCGGTAAACATCTACCAGACTACACGGTGCAACAACCCAGAGTACAGCCATCAAAGGTCATAATCTCAAGGCGAGGCAATACACTTACCATTTTTACATTTCTTGGTGCATAAAAAACTTGTTTTCACTCGGCTGATTTATATATAGACCTAATTTGTGCACGTCCTCAAGATAACTTTAACTGCAAACTTAAGACAGACTGACTATGCTGTACGATCATGATTTTAAGGAAAAGACCCAAATTAGCTTAGAATATCAAAGAATCTTTTACTTTTTCCAGGATGCCCGTTTGTTTCACACCTTTAATTTTTATGAAATTTATTTGCATTATTGTGTTATCTCCCTCAAATTTAAGCTTATTTAAACTCTCTTACACATAATCAGTCCAGTGCTTTAATTCAGAGTTTCAGTGAAACTGACGTACATTAACATTTTCTGTGGTTCTTGTTTCTTTGCCGGGACAACGGTTTACAATCAGAAATTTGAGAAAGGTGGATCTCTCCCTGATTGTTGCACCGTGTAGTTTAGTAGAAGTTTACCGACGTTTCAGAGATCCTTTCAGCCCGTTACTTCTAAAACATCGGTAAACTTCTACCAGACTACACGGCGCAACCCAGAATACAGCCATCTTTATTTTTGTCGCCTTAAGAAACAGAAATATTTAAAAATTGGAGTTATTGTTTATGAATAAAACATTTGTTGTGAACATATTTATTTTAGATATATTTTGTGTATATATCACATAATTAGTACGAAAATTTATTTTTTGGAATTTAGGAGGATTTGGAATCGAGTGCGGAAAAATGGTTCTGTGGTTGAAACCTCATACTTCTAAAAAATTATTAGTCATGAAAATAATTAGTAGAATAGGTATTCATGGAATTCTTTAGTATAGTTTGTCAGGGATAATTATCTTCTGGGGCGTTCGTATTATATTTAATTTTCAACATTTGTTATATTTTCTTATCGAATTTATTAATTCCCCCCCCCCTCATTTACTACTTTTATCCACAAATTTATCACTACTTCTACTTCTTACATCTTCATTTTTATCTCACGAGTAATTGTCATCTTATACTTAACTTTGTGAATCAAAGAAGTATTTGTTCTAAAATTCGTCATCTCAACTCGAAGCATTTATATCTGCGTTTGTTGTAACCAGATTACTTCTCAAAAATTCTGTAATGTGTTTGTTCACTGTATCAGGATCGTCCTGCTGTACAAAATGATTAGCTCCCTTTACGATATTCACTTGTAAGTTCTTAACATTCTTCTGGGCTAGGTTCAAAATTTCGCGTGTGAGATAATCATCAAGTTCGCCAAATATTAAAAGTCCATTTGGTGTGATATCAATTATATCTTTTGAACTCTCAGTTGTGCTCCATGTTTTCATGAATTGTCTGTAGTAGTTGACTGGAGGCGTTAATGCATCTGAAAAGAAAATAACATTTTTTTTAAAAAAATTAACACGTATATCGAATTGTACTAAGTATGAAAAGTGACACGTGTCTGAAAAATATGACATTAAATTTGTAGTCAGTAATGTAAAATTATGTCAACTGAAATTGTTAAGTAAAACGGAAATAAAAAAAATATTTGAGGACGTGCATGTGAACTCAGTATACACGAAAGTAGAAGTTCGATAATTTTGTTGAGGAAACATTATAGACAGATTGAACAATTAAAGTCATCGGACATCAGACCTGCTGAGACTACAAAGATACAGCTGTGTAAGAAGTTGGTCTATGAAGTCAAAACAGGTTATAGATCCAATCGATGAATAACACGTGTTGAAATTCGCTTTCAATATTCTACGTAAACCAGTTTATATTGTAAAGTCTTGGAAATGTTCATCCATGTATTTTTTGACTTCTGGATACTACATTTTATCTGTTGTTCATAGCGAAGCGAAAATGTCTTATTTCCTTTAGCATGTCTCATAAAATATCCATTAACTGTCTGCGTATGCATTCAGTCTCTCATTTACACATGCAATGGTTGGCACTCCTGCTTAGATTCTCGGTCCGGAAGATCGGCTTTTGTTGATTCTTGTCAGTCACTTTTACACACAGTATAGAGTTTTATTATTTTTGAACTACGTGTTTCAGCCCAAATTCGAAGTCATTGCAGGGACAATTTCTTATTAAATCTCCCGACGTAGTTTAATTAATGATAGTTGAGACATTTTAAAATTAGTCAAAACAGTTAAGACTGAGGATTGTCTAGTTTTACTCAGTCTCTACCGGAAATGTTAGAATATTACCTTTAAAATATGTCGCCACTGTTTTATTTCATTTATAATTGATGATGATGCTGTTAATGAACGCTATAGAATACATGTAATTGAATTATTTAATTAAATATCCAGGGATTGATCAATCGGTCTGTACTCACTTGGTTTGCCAAAAGTGTACTTGAACGCTTCAATGTCTTCATCAGTAACACGTGAAAGTTCTTTTGGTTTGTTTCGTCTGAACACCTTTTCAAAGGCGATGAAGTCAAATGCTGGAAGTGTTAGTTCAGGCAGATAAGGAAGTGTGTAGAAAAACAGATACCTGTTTGGGACACAAAAAAGAATTGTAGAAAAATTCCCATATGTATACCTTAGGCAAATAAATTAATTTGCTATGGAACGAACATGCATGATAAAATATTTTAGAGAAGAAGGTTTTTAACAGTGTTAAATGGTCTAAAATGATTTAGGACCCTATCTAATGTAATACACAATGTTTATTTAACTTATTTACTTTGATTTCAGCCAAGAGGCTTTGATATCGATTCTAATACCTCATGTTCTTAGAAATGAGTTGATGCAACGTCAATCAACAAACAAAACCAAGCACTGGCCCATCGCTACACCCTCAATCATAAATATGACATGGAATATCCTGGGATTGAACCTAGGCGTCCAGATGTCTGCTCTTAACCACGTAGACTACGACACGATCCACCTTTCATATTTGTGATGTAGAATGTCAGCGATAAACGCCATTACTTTTGATTGGTTAACTGTTATAGGATTCATGACTGCTGACGTTTCAGGTATGGCCACTTTTCGTGTATGAGCGTACAGAATTACGACGGCTGGCTTTGAAGGTCATTGTGCATATATCGCTCTCGGATAAAGTATCTACGAGTCAGACCAAATAATGCATTAGACAATAACCCAGTAGATTTTTGAATGCCCTGTGACAAACCCTGTGTTTCTAGGCCCCGTCGTTGATTTGCTATGGATGCTTAAAATCAAATTTTGCTTTATCGCGTGTTAGTGCTGGTCAGATGGTGTCAAAAGTCAGTGGTTGAAGGACGCGCTTTGTGGTGTTTTGTGTTACGTTACCCATTTTCATACAGCACGACGCAGAGAGATGTTCCCAGCCCTATAAGTATCTCTGACGCAACATTCATGTTACCAACGGTAGTAGTTTTTTATCTTCTAAACTAAGTGGTTTGGGGGTTTAGTGATCAGTCGGCAGCTGTCGAATAGAGTGTGATGTGTACCTGTTAGGAGTGGCGTCGTAGAAAATCTTATATTGATATTCTTTTGTTGCAAAGATAGTGACCGTATACGTTTGTTTTCAAAGTTAATTTGTAAAGCTCTACATTAAGTTGGTATATTGTACGTGTCCTTCAGTAAACAGAGAATAGTTCACAATTGGTAATGATAGTAGTTTAGCTAGAAGAATTGTTCTAGATTGTACGATATGCGTGTGAAAAGGAAGCAGATGTAATTTCTGGAAGTTTCAAGACGTGGTAGCCAAAGCATATGGCGTTTATAAATAGTGTTTATTGTTTTAGCTGTTCCTTTGGATTAAAGCAAAATAGCAAGGTATGTTATTAAGCTTATGTTTATATGTGTATTTGTGTGTGTTTTCAAAGTCGTTCTTCGTTTATTATATTCATAGTCCCATTTTACTGACTTCGTTGCCCCCATAAACGGGTAAGGAGTGGAAGATAGCAACGTCGTAATTCCTCTTAATTGCTGCTTCAAACGCCATGAGCAGCAAATCCTATAACAATTAATTAGCCAGGAACTTTCTTACGAACTTCTGCTTTAACATGACTAAGATGATTTTTAAATCGCTCTTGGGGCATAATTATCTTAACCATAAGACATATTTCAGTATATAATGACCACAGTAATCCTAAAATTTCTCATACACATATAAAATACATTTTAACAGTAACGAATATATATTTGCTCTTTGTATATAGTGCTTCAAATACTCTAGTACATCAAAATGTTAAAAAAAACGCATACTTCTGACTGGATATATGGTATTTATCTTCATGCTGACCGTAATCATATATTTTAAATATAATATTCGTTAGTGTAACACTATGAAAAATCCTGTTACATCGTATTAACATGGAAATGCATGTAGTGTTCCCATAGCACGTACCATGACATGAAGAACTGCTTCTTATTGGATAGCACAAGTTGCATGAATGTCGGAGGGTGTGGGGCATTCAAGATAACGTAACACAGCAGCATTTCATGGTATTTGGAAACAAAATTCCATGAGACAATACCTCCCCAGTCATGTCCAACGAGGATGAATTTCTGGCGACCTGAAATTTAAGACAATCAGCATGGCCCAGTCATGGCAAAGGTACAGGAGGCAAGAATTTCAGGGCACACTTGATAAGATCTGAAAACGGAAGTTTTTTTTAAATTAATGATGTTTATGGAGGGTGGTGTTGAAACCAGGGAGACACGTCGTGGCCGATTATAAGATTCTGTCTCATGTTCATGTGGAAAGTCTGAGGAAGACCAAGGTCATTATAATGATAATTGTTTGTGTTGGATTACGAAACGGGAAATATGATGGTAGTTACCTTTAATTTCGTGAAAATTGTTATACGTCTACTATTAACAGATGACGAAGAAAGCATACATTTACAAGGGTAGCACAAGATAAATATTCGTTAGGTTAATTACGGAAGATACACTCGATCCAGTCGCACAGAGTCATCGTAAATATTGAGTTATGTAACCCATTTAGACTACAAGTCCTGTACTCCGACCTTGTAGATGTTCACTGTCTGCTAATCAGATGAGTCTCGCACACACACAATGCTGTTTTTGACGAGGCAAACAGATGCCCCGTTGAGCGGATTACATTGAGCTTTGATTTCTGACAATAGCCCTAGGCGATATTTATATTAAATCTAAATATCCATTATTTGCCCTCACACCTATGTTTTGGTTTGAATCTGGTGGTCGCTTACCTACTCACGAAATTCTATGGTTTTTATGGAAACATTGTTCAGTACAGTGTTTATAAAAGTCCTCCAATTTTTTATCCTGTGCCCCAAAAACCCAGTTCACACCCTCCCACCTAGTTTCCATCTACACTTAGGTCTTCCAGATGAACTCTTTCCTCCAGGTTTTCCAACTTTAAATTTTATACGCATGTATTACCTCCCCATGCGTGCTACGTGCCCTGCCAATCTTATTATCCTTTATTTGATCGTGCTAAATACGAGTATTTGGTGAATGCAGTTTAGATTTACCATCCTTCACAAATATTTTAACTTTGCCGCGTATTCGAAGCATCAGGAGAATCTGAGTTCTACTTCAAAAATGTACTGAGTTTATAGAACTAACAGGCGTGATAAAAGTAAAATGTAAACTTGTGACAATATTAATTTTAATTTAGAAATCATATGCGATGGCTTACGTCATTCTGATTAACATTTGAAGAAACTTAATTCACGTCGTAAGGAAGGTTATTGAGGCAAAGCTACACTGTCTCTAAGTCGGATCCAGTCTCCGGAGTCCACGAAGAGAAATCCAGTAGAGATTAGATTGTGGACCGAGATGAAATACAGAGATTTTCAATACCATTGCAATAATCGATCTTTGGTCATCCACAAAGCGATATTCACCCTACTGACTGAGCTATAAAGGCTTATTAATTATTTAAGAAAAAAATCTATGTATAACAATCAGGAAAAGCAATGCAATATTGTGATGTCTTAATTAAATACTCAGAAGCCGAATAATCTAGTGAATCATGAGTTTAAATACGAACCCAGAGCTTGAACAACGTGTTTAACGTCGTCAATAAGAAGATCCATGGCATAGCTGTCCATTCCTGGAGGTTTCTCCGAGTCCCCGTATCCACGCATGTCTATTGCAACAGTCCTGCAATGACGTGGGGAACAATAGAAAGTCTTAATTCTGTTTCTTATAAAGTACGTGAGCAGTAGAAACAAAAATTAATCGTAACAAGACCAACAAAATTGAACGCTGTTGCAACCATTTTAGGATTTTACTTTTGACCTTGAAGAATGGATTCCCTCAATGTTTTAGAAAACTCACCAGTAATCCTTTGAAAATTCTTGCAGCTGATGTCGCCACGAGTACCAAAATTCGGGATAACCATGCAGAAACAGCATTAGTGGTTTCTTTGGGTCTCCTTTCTCAACGTAGTGAATTCTGATGTTCTGAAAAATGAAGCATTTATAACTACGCTAGTCAATTAATTGCTTTTATTTGTATCTGTCATAGTGTGTTGGTATGTTTAATAGACTTCACCAACAGCTCACACCACAAATTTATATCTATTTTAATCAAAGTATCATCTCTAATGTGAATCCTTATTTGGTGATTGTAAAATGAATGCACTAATTTTCATATAGTTCATGCCACATTTTGTGTAGGAAAATGTACGTGGCACATTGAATATATATTTACGGTAAACAGTTAAGTAATGAAATTAAGACAAATATAGTTGCACTAGGTCACTTTTTGATTTTATAAATCTAATGATTTGCCGTGGTAAAATGCCTCGTCATGCAACCTTCACCAGTCACGTGTTACTTGCTGTGTGTTATGTCCAAATGTTTTTCTGTGCATTCTGTTGTTAAAATCTGCCAATTTTTTTTCTACTCTGCTGGTAAGAAACTTGTTTCACACCCGTACAAAACAGCACGTAAAATTGTCGTTTTGTATATTTAAACCTTTGTTTTTTTATACAGACAATGATGTGCATGTCTGTTTAGAAAACATTTTTGTACGTCATGAGGTAGGCTATTTATCAAGAAATATAAATTGTTAGGAAGGCTGCAAATTGTTTATATATATATATATATATATATTTATTAACTTTGAGAGTTAAATATCCATGCTTCCAAAGTGACGTGTCTGTGAGGAATTTCGGAGCGTTTCTCTTCTTAACTTGAAATTCAGAACGTTTGAAGATAAAACCAATTGTTAAAATTATCGTCATAAGAAATCCAGTGAACAATGCAAGAGTGTATTTAATCAAAATCTTTTTCAGCGACATTGCAGGCCACGACTTAAGGCACGTATTAGATTGAAAATAATTATTTCTTGACTGACACTGCTCAGAAATACGAACTGGAAGTTTAGTTCACAGACTGCCAGCAGGAGACAGGACAAGCAGCTACGTGGTTGTCCTTGCTTCCACGGGCTGAGTTGCCATATCTTTAGTTGGGACTATTTTATCTTCCTCAATATCTTCCCCGCACACCGCCAGTCCATATTTTACACATAATCATCCACTTGAACTGTTACGTCAGTGAACAAACTGTTACGCTATTTTTTTTAACACCCAGGAAGACCTCGGTACCCATTGGACAGGACACTGGGGGGATCGCAGAGCCGGTCTGGAGGCAGAGACTAGACGAAAAATCCTCTGCACTTGTCGGCGATCGAACCCCGGTCACTATAAGTGTGACGTCAGTGCAGAATTAAAGTATGTCGACCAAAGGTTCCAAACCCCCCCGGTTGAAAATTACTGGTGGACCATTTCATGATTTTTTCTGGCTAAGTAAAGGTTATTTTAGGTCAACGTTGAATGCTAGCGAATGGCGAGTTCAGGGATGGTTTGTACACGGATGTTTTAAAGCTGTGTAACTCTACGGCCGTTTTCTGTGAGCGGTAAGGTAGGATTCGGAGGCGTGAGTTGTCGTCACAAGGCGATTAAATGCAGGCGTGCGCACTGAATGTGGGATTCAACGGAGTCACCAACCGTTGAGTCATACTGTGTAGCTCCCGAGTGTCGCGTTGGTCAGAGATAAAAATTGTAATGTACGGTGCTAATGACGTAAAATTGTTTTAAAATATAAATGATTAAAATTTTAACATAATATAGAACAGTGAAATCTTTTGGAAATAAATTAAAATATGTAAAAATGCAAGTAAAATTCACGGCGTTCTTTGTTCATATGGGAGATCTTAAAATCTCCATCATTTATTTATTACTTATTATTTACTTATTGAATGTGACTGCTAGGTAGGTTGTTTCTTGGTACTTCTGTACTAGCCGTTTAAGAGTTTTTATTGATTTCTGTTTCATACTGTAAGCTTACTGATTTTCGAAAAATATGTAATGTTTGTGAAGAAAATTATTTTTTTATGTGTAACAATAACGTGGCGGCCTTTCGAGCGAATTTATTTCGTTTCCATCTTGACAGCTGTAATAAATAACTCAGTGGAGGTAGGCATGTGAAGTTCTGCGTGGTGGTGCCGGTGAGATGTTTGAGGTTATATGCGACAATATTGAGAATCTGTATTTAATAATAAGCCTGAAACATAGTAATATTATTCTATAAGATATCTGTAAGTGAAGACATAATAGGAAAATGTGATATAAGAGTGATTCCTCTCATCTAGTTGTCAGCCCATTGTCATCACCTTACCTTACTGAAGATATTATGTAGTTTTCATTTGATACGATGTATTTGAAGAAATCAAAATAAGATTTATAGCTGGTTATGAGGAAATTCACCGTATTCATCTTCGTTTCGATGTTATATCAATTTTGGAGATGTCCCAGCGTCGTTAAATAACTCAGAATGTTGACAGCAGTTTATGAAGGTCAAATGTCACTTGTGACCTAGCTTAAAATACCATTCAACATTATGTTTAATGACTTTGGACGTTTGATGTGTTTAGTACGAGAACGTGTAGAGGATGGAAGGTTCCGTTACCTTCATATCTTCGTGTACAAGACAACGATAAACCACAGAGTGTTACTGGTATAAAGTCCAGAGAGATGCAAGGGATTATAAGGATTAAATGTTATTGATAAGCGTTTTAGTTTTTTTAACCTTTAGTCTGTAATTGTTTTTTTATCAGGAAGTTGATATAGTAATTACGTAACTTCTGCAGTATGTTCAAATTTTGTTGGATTATTTTTTTATGTCCGTGTGTTTCGTGAGTACCGTAGTTATTTTTGAACCAAGTAACACATTGTCTTTGAACTTTGCACGAAGATTAAGCCATTAGTTGCATTCTACGTTAGAATCGTTTAATGCCAACATGGCTATTATGCGTAGGCGTATTTATTTATTTGTGGCTTATTTAACGATTCTGATAGTAGTTAAGGTTTTATAGCGTTAAATGTTAGGACGATTAATGGATAATGTATTGGTAAGGATACAGAAAATATCGATCGTGGCGAACTTAAAAGAAACTATTCAGGCATTTGCATTCACATAAAACCTCAGTCAGAAGTAGGAAATTATTACGCAATATTATAGTTTCAGGGTAATTTATTTAGTAACATAATTAAATAGCCTTTATACAAGATGTAAAATTAACTTTGTATCAAGCTACAAAACTTTATAAAACGACAAATAAAGTTTTACCACAACTTTCTTTCATTGTTGGATGTGTCGTGGATCTGAGATTTGAAATTCAAAAAGATGAACATCATATTGCAACAGACTGCTCCACCTGAGAAAATATTATAAAATGATTAAACTCATGTATAACAATGTAAATCTCTTTAATGCATGAGTAAGGTTACAGTTAATTAGGGAAAAATTTAATTGTTAACAGAATTACGCAATGAAGAAAACCGATTTCACTATCAAGGAAGAAAGAAATCATTTCTGAAGATGGCTATGTTCTATCATCAGGGTGAGCTACTCTGAAACGTCGGTAAATATATACCAGATTACACGGTAGAACATTCCAGAAGACAGCCATCTTCACACTCGCCAAAAAAATAAAAATCTCTTATCCTTGTCAATTTTACTATAAAATATTTTTTTGTGAATTTAACTCGGTCGGTTGTACTGAAATAGGGATTATTTAATTTTGATAGAGGACTGGTAATACACTTATGATTTTAATAAGCTTAATATCACGTGTTAAATTATTTTTTGTTTTCCAGAGTTGACTGAAATTTAGATAGGATTTTTACGTGTCCTTTTTGGTATTTGGTGTATTAATAATTTATTTTAGTAGCTGTCACTAGCCCAGGAAATACAGTATCGAAACTTTGTTTTATATTTTAAACATAAGAACGTATTATCATTTATATAATTTAAATAATTACATTTATAAAAAGTGGTTTGTTGTGCCAAAACATTCATGGACGTATAAATAAACAAGAATTCAAATACACACGGACTTATAAAAAAATGAAATTTTTATAAATTAATTTTCTAAGCTTACAATATCGTGACAAATGGTTTTAGGTTCAGTTGAAAGAAAATATTTACTTAAAAACGAACAGTTAGTTCTGGAAAAAGTCGTAAATTAATTTATGGAGACCATGGAATTTTAAATTCACGCTAATGAAGTACTTACTTTTGGGTGTGTGATTTTAAGAAAATCTCTGATTAAGGTATTAACTTTTTCAGGATCATCCTGTTGGGCGTAGTGATTTGCGCCTTTGACCATTTTCACGTTTAGATTCTTAATGTAGCTCTGAGCCGCCCACAAGTGGTCATACACTAAATGATCATCATGTTCACCAAACATGTAGAGTCCTGGTGCTTCGATGTCTTTCTTCAGTTTTGATTTCGGTGGCGAAAGTGAGAAACCATTTGCTCTGAAGTAGTTGATGGGCGGTGTAAACGCTCCTACAAAATTATAATTTCATTTCATTAAAGATATTTATTCCTTATTTTAATATATCACAGTTTTATTGCCAGTCTTACGTAGAGTTCGGTGTAGTGTGAACAGATTTTATAAGAAATCCGCGGACAATTACAATGTTGACTATAGTTGTCTGGTAGATATTGACCGACGTTTCAGAGGTTCTTACTGATTTCATCGTCTGGTCGAGATGGACGCAGTAGGAACCCCTGAAACGTCGGTAAACTTGTACCAGATTACATGGCGAAATATCCCACAAGACAGTCAACTTCCTTGAACCTTTGAAGTTTGTACTATTACCTAATATTATAGGTGTTAGAATCGGTTGGACATGCAGCACGCACTGAAATAGAACAAATAGTATGGGCCTGTGCAGTTCGGGTAGGAACGCGATAAAAGCTGAATCTTTGGGGAGAGTTAAAATCCCAATCAAAAGACCTGAAAATGAAGACCATATGGAAGAAATAGACGTTGCATTGGGGATGATATTAAAACGGATCTTAAAGAAGTGGGGTTTTAGGATGTGGAGTGAATTAACATGGCTCACAATAGAGGTCAGTGGCAGATTCTTGTCAACACGGTAATGAACCTTAGGGTTAGCTTATCAAAAGTCGACTCGTGAAGTTAGTTGCTTAGGTTGTGACGATATGAAGCTTCTAAAGGTGAAATTTCTTTTCTGACGGTGGAGATAAACTTCGATGTTACATGGCTACAGAGAATTTTTTGTGAAATTATTTACTCTTGAATGTTTAACTTATGTTTCATACCGCCGTAGTTAATATAAGACGCGATATTTCACATTTGAAAATTTCCGAATTCTGGGTGTGTCATACATTTGGTCGAGTTAAAGAATCTATTTGAATCGATTACTAAATCAAAGGTACGTCTTACAATTGTCGTCATAAAGTCTAGGAAATATGGTATATCTGTCTTAGGATAGGTTTTAGTTGTCTCTTGAGAGCACGGTGATAAATATTTGGGGTTCTATAAACACCGGGGAATCCCTTGACTAACTGAGCGTACTTTTGGGTTTCCAAGAAGAATTCTGTTCCATGGAGTTATAAGATTCGTTATTCAAATAAACTGTTTACCTGGCTTCGCAAAAGTGTACTTGTAAGCTTCTAAATCTTCATCTGACACTGGTGAGAGACTTCTTGGTGTTGATCCTCTGAATAGATGCTTGAATCTCACCATGTCATAAGCTCTGAACATTAATTCTGGTAGATATGGAAGTTGGAAATAAAACACATCCCTATGTGGAAACAGAAAAGAAATTGCTAAAAATTCTAACAAAATCGACTTTGTAGTGGTATATTTCTGTTAAACTCCATTGTTTTAATGATAATAATATGTGATATGGTGTATACTTCGTGCGTGTTAGGACAAAAAATATACTATTAAGTAAAATATAAACTTACATGTATTTTGTATATGTGTATAGAACCCAAAATGTTACGATATTTGTTGGGGGGGGGGGGGGGCGGAGGAATAACACAGTAAATCATACCATGACATGAAGATCTGAAACAGGTTCGAAGTTAATATTCTGAAGTTTGATGGAGAATATGGCGCATCTAGAATAATGTAGTTGTTCAACATCTCAGGATGTAACATGACGAAGTTCCATGCAATTGCCCCGCCGAAGCCATGCGCGACCAGAGTACATTTCTCATGACCTGCATTTACAGAGAAAGTACGTATTAAGAGCATGAACATATTTACAGCTTAAACGCTGTTGGTTATGAGATATAACCATGGTGTCATGGTTAATAATTGTTTGATATTAAGAAAATTTTATAATATACGTACCTAAAGCTTCTATAATTTCCTTTATGTCATTAACAAGGTGAGACATTTTGTAGTCCTCGAGTCCTACTGGTTTGTCAGAATCCCCATATCCACGCATATCTACAGCGACAGTCCTGCACAGGAACATGTAAATGCCAGATGAATCCAATCTACACCATCACATCCTGTTTATCTAAATCCATCTTTTCCTACACTTGCGTCTCTCAAACTCTTTTATCTTTAAATTCTCTTCCAAAAATATCATATGAATTTGTTTTGTTCCATGTTATAAACTCTGTTCATTATAATTTTTCATGTTTAGCCATCCTTACGATATTTGGTGAAGATTATTTAAGACACTTATTATTAAGTAACCAGCCTTCTACTACTTTTTCCATCGTAGGGTCAAATATTCTCTTCAGAAATCTACCCTCATACATCCCCAGTCTATTCGTGTTTATAATTTTAATGATTTTCGTGTGTGATTGACAAATTTTATTGAACGGATTTATTTATACACCCCGTAAACCCTTAACGGTGATGTATTTTGACACAAAATTAGCTTAATTTTACTACTCAATGAGAGTTTTAACCAGAATTTTAATATTTGGCTTATAGTACAAAAATTAAATATATGTTTTTATTTATACACACATGGAGTGAGAAAAAAAGACATCTTGTTAAATCCATTCTCAGTTATAAGGAAACGCCAACGAACTTACCAGTAATCTTTGGAAAATTCTTTAATTTGATGTCGCCACGAGTACCAAAACTCTGGAAATCCATGAATAAATAGCATTAGTGGCTTTGATCTGTCGCCTTTTTCAACATAGTGGATTTTCACTCCCTGCAAACAAAGACATTAACAATTTAATAGTAAGAAAATATACATCACGTTTGTGCTCAAGTATAACATCAATAATTTTTATAGACAATTTTAAGACGCTAAATCAACGGACGATATTATTTAGCGTGGATGATATATGAGAATTAATTTATTATGAGCTAAGTTTCGAGGAACTTAAAATTAGCAGTAGGTGCATATTTAAATTCACACCGCCACAGTTACTGGAAATAATGAGAAAGATCTAGAAGTACGGTACGTTTAGTTATAAACCGGAAAGCAACTGTCACTTCTCGGGTGCCAGCAAGAACTACATGACTTACCGCCAAGCGTTGCAATATTTACTGCTCCATCAGGGCGATGGCTGCAGTTTGCATCTCTGAAACACCGGCCAATATCCCAAAGGGTTGTCATTTTCATATTAATCGCCGTGAGAACCTGAAATGTCACTCGTAAACGTTGTTATAAAACCGGAAGTGACTCACCTCAACTGGAAGGTATCCGTGGATACCGTAGGTAGTGTCTGTGAGGCACTCTGGCGGTGTTTGGCGACGTTTTACCCTCCAGAATATCCGGGTAGGGTGTAAGAGAATACTGAGGCTAAGACGGGCTAAGACCATGCCAGCCGCAATAAAAGCTATGCTGTATACGAACGCTGTCGCTGTAATAGTCTGTACGATGCCCATCGTGTCAAATCGTTCGGTACTCGACGATCGACTGAAGACTCGTTCAACGTCTTTCGACTACCATCCGGTTGGAGAGAGCATGTTCCACTTTGAGGTCTCTGTGTGACCGTGTTACAACTTCTTCTTCCCCTTCTTATTATATATTTTTTGTCCAATCATGGCGAATCTTCAGTACGAAACCTCAAGATGTCATTGACCTACACTAGAGACAGCAACTTTCTGCGTACCGCCATCTTTATGACACTCCATTCAAGGTATGAAGCGTTTATGTGTTATCTCGGCTAACAATTTTGGAAAACGAAAAATAAAAAGTTATCCTCGTAAATTTCTTGGTTTAGTGATACTTCATATACTGGAATGCAACAGAATCAATAATATAAAATGCACTTGATACGTTACAAAAATGAAATCAGAAACAGTTACAATGCAATAGACTCTTACCAACTTCAACGATACTCAGTGAAGGTCAGCTTTGTTGCTAGGCCCCTGCTCACGCCAGTTGCGCAAAAGCTGTGCTGTGCTAACATGGCGGAAAGCGTGTTTATTCTCGACCATTAATTCCGATCGAAATCGTTTGCTGTTGTTTGTGAATCATTTATCAGTTCGTATCCTGACAAGGAAATACGGAATAAGACGACGATACATCAAATGGTATCACTATTTAGAGTTGATTCATGTCTTTCATCATCTGCTGTAAACCGTTCTTTAAAATATTTTTAACAAATTGAGTCTAAAGAACATTATCTTAGTTTTCTTGTATTAATGTCAGCGACGCTTACAAATAATGTTTTAGACAGGGCCGCGTTTTAAATTAAACACACTGCACAACCAATTCAGTTGATGAAACATCGTTAAATAAAAAAGACAAATTATACATTATCTTCTAACAGAGAAAAGTCCATAAAAAGTGAGATGAATGTGTTTTCTATATTGAAATATCTTCGGTATTAATAATAATTTTCATGGAACTGTTGATAATTGATACTCATTTGGTCATCAAAATTTCTGCTTATACGTATCGTGGTTGTTCATAATCGTATCCACAAAAGCCTACACTTGGATACTACCCTCAGTCAGATGAATCCAGTCCACATCTTCACGACAAGATCTATTTTAATTTATGGTTCTGTCATTCCTCTGGCATTCAAAGTGTTAATTTCATATTTCGAAATAAAATATCGAATTTATTTGTTATTTTCCATAATGTAATTGTTCTGCATATTCTATTCTTAATGTAATCATAATAATATCCGGTGCAAAGTTTAAATTATTGAGTTCTGTTTTAAAGAAACGTTTATTTTTCAGTATCTTACGGTACAGTGAACTTTTAGACAATGTTTCTTGCTTCATGCTTCTGTGGGCATTATGCATAACATCATTTGTCTCGTTTACCCACTGCCATATACTTTATGTCCTGAAAGTCCATTCAACCTTTCATTGTGACGAGTCATGCAACTAGTAAAGGTTTGTGCAAGACGAATACCACAAAACAGACTTTTTTTTACCGATATTTAAATACCCCTACTCCAATCCATGAACGCTAACACTCATACAAGT